TATATAACAAAGGATTACATACCATGACCAGGTGAGGTTTATTCCAGGGATAAAGGTGGTTCTGTATTTGAAAATCAGTGGAGGTGATCCACCTTAACCAACCGAAACGTAATTCGCGTGATTGCATCCGTCAGTGCGGGGAAAGCGCTTGACAGACTTCACATCTATTCCTGATTTACGCTCTTGGAAAAACAGAGGAGGAGAGGAACTTCCTCAACTGGATACAGAGCATCTGCAGAAACCTCGCAGCCAGGATTACCCACCGGGGAAGGAACCCCTGCTCCACCACTGAGATCCAGAACAAGATAGGCTGTCTGCACTAAGCATCGTATCCCGCGCGGTGCTGGACGGACTGCCGCCACAGTACGGCAGGACCAGGGTGTGAATCGGGCGGAGTTGTTGTATTCGATACCGAAAGGCTGATCTGTAAAAGGAAAAACTGATAAATTGAACTCCATTAAAATTCATATAGATCACCCAGGAAGTAACAAAACTGTGCCTGTTCCCAGAGGCCACCATCGTCTTTGTAGGAAAGCCCGAGGAGTCCAGCAAAACCACTCCTGGAATTAGTAACCGAGGCTGGGTGTGGTGGCTCACGCCTGTCATCCCAGCACGTTGGGAGGCTGAGGCAGGCAGATCAGCTGAGGTTGGCAGTTCAAGACCAGCCTGACCAACATGGAGAAACCCCGTCTCTCCTAAAAATACAAAATGAGCCAGGTGTGGTGGTGGGTACCTGTAATCCCAGCTATTCTGGAGGCTAAGACAGGGGAATTGCTTGAACCCAGGAGGCGGAGGTTGCAGTGAGTCAAGATGACACCATTGCACTCCAGCCTGGGCAACAAGAGCCAAATTCCATCTCAAAAAAAAAAAAAAATGAGTTCAGCAAAGTCAGAAGACATAAGTTCAACATAAATGATGCCACAGTGTTTCTCTGTACTAGCAATGAACACACCGACCCTAGATTAAATAAGCAATTCCACTTACAGCCACTCCACAGAGTGAGTAGTTAGGTGTAAACCCAGCAGAACAAGCACAGAACGTACATGCCGAACACTGCACAGTGCTGCTGAGAGACCCCCACGTCCGAGGGCTGGGAGTCAACACGGTGAACACGACCGTTCCTTCCTTGTTGACACACAGGTTCAGTGCAACTTGTATGAAACAGTCACGGCGACATGTTTCTAACGGGCCGGACAAGTCATTCCAAGTTTTACATGGAAAGGGAAAGGAACTAAACACCTGAAACCATTGGGGAAAGGAGCAAAGCAGAAGGAATCAATCTACCCAGTTTCAGGTCATATATTACAGTCATCAGGACAGTGTAGTACTGACGGGGACAGACATGCAGACCCATGGGACAAAACAGAGAACCCACAAATAGAGCCACACAAATACTCCCGGCTGAGGGTTGGTTAGTTTGTGGGGTTTTTTGTTTTTTTTTTTTGTTTTTTTTGTGGCGGAGTTTCGCTGTTGTTACCCAGGCTGGAGTGCAATGGCGCGATCTCGGCTCACCGCAACCTCCGCCTCCTGGGTTCAAGTAATTCTCCTGCCTCAGCCTCCCAAGTAGCTGGGATTACAGGCATGCGCCACCATGCCCAGCTAATTTTTTGTATTTTTAGTAGAGACAGGGTTTCACCATGTTGACCAGGATGGTCTCGATCTCTTGACCTCGTGATCCACCCGCCTCGGCCTCCCAAAGTGCTGGGATTACAGGCTTGAGCCGCCGCGCCCTGCCAGTTCGTTTTTTACCAAAGTGCCAAGAGCAATCCAGCAGGGAAAAGACAGCCTCTTCAACAAACGCTTCTACAGCAATGGGCCTTTTGTGGACAGAACAAAACCTTCACCCCAAGGCTCGCACCGTACACAGAAGTAACTCAAGCGGATCCCGGACTTACATGTAAAACGTAAGACAGTCAGCCTTCACGGCCGGGCACCGTGGCTGACACCTGTCATCCTAGCACCTTGGAAGGCTGAGCAGGAAGATTGCTTGAGCTCAGGAGTTTGAGACCAGCCTGGGCAACAAGGCGAAACCCCATCTCTACCAAAATATGAATAATTAGCAGGGTGTGGTGGTGCACACCTGTAGCCCCAGCTCCTCAGGAGGCTGAGGTGGGATGATGCAGTGAGCCGAGATCACACCACTGCACTCCAGCCTGGGCGACATCGTGAAAGCCCGTCTCAAGAAAATACAATCTTTGGGGAAAATATTCAGGAAAAAATAAAATATTTCAGAGCTAGGGCCAGGTGGAGCCATTATACTTGATTCTAAAAGGATGGTCTGTAAAGGGAAAAACTGGTCAACGGACTTCATTAAAATGAAAAGCAATTTGCTCCATATAAGACCCCGTTAAGACGACGAAAAATATTTTTAAGCTACAGCCTGGTAGAAAATGTTCGCAAGCCACATATCTGACAAAAGGCTAAAATCTGGAATATGTAAAGAAGTTTTAAAATTTAACAGTAAAATAATCTTATTAGAAAATGAGCACAGGAAGAGACATTCCACCGAAGACGACGCACAGACGGCAGAGGCTGAGAAACGCTCGTCATTAGGGAAGCGAACAAGCAGCACCGTGAGACACCGCTGCACCCCATCAGGAGGGCTGGAATAAAGTAGCAGCACCCCGCACGCTGGCACAGAGGCCGAGAAGTCACGTCACTCATACGTGGCTGGGAGGGGAACATGGCTTCTCAAGAAAACAAAACCCGAGGTTGCCATGTGATGCAGCAGCTGCTTCCATGGACGTTTCGACCAGAGTTAAAACCCAGGTTCATTCAAAAATCCATGTGGAGGTTTATGGCAGCCTGAACGGACAAACGCTGCAAAAAGACCATGGCTGTCCTTCAGCAGAACCCCCGCACACACTAGGGCGCACCCACGCCTTGGGACACGTTGGCAAGGGGGGGGGGAAGCTGAGAGCTGCACCAGCCAACACCCCTGTCCTGAGGGCACCTGCTGTAGGGTTTCACTCCGAGGATGCTCTTGAAATCATCAGGGAAGCAGAAGCGGGGGGGGGGGGGGGTGTGGAAGGGCACGGGGGGCCGGGCGCTGGCTGGGACTCCTACTGCAGCTGTGCAAGATGGCAAGATGGTGCCAGTGCGGGCTGATTTTGAAAGCCTGGGAGATACCCCTTTAAACACTCTCCAGTCTGCTGGGGACGGCGCCATGGCCTTCGCCGGTAGTTTGTCTGCAGGAATGAAATGCAACCCTTCAGGCCACTGGGGGTCTCGGGCCCCTTCCCACTGACCTGCCACTTGGCACAGAGGGTTCTGACCCTTTCCAAACTGCTATTCCAGCTCTTGGTGTCAGAGACCAGCCCCAGTCCCCCCCAGGCCTTGACCCTGTCTGGGAAGGAGAAGAAAGAGTGGGAATTTGAGAAACACGGGTGACCCCGCCCTCCCAGCCCCGCTAAGTGCAGGTTTGGGAGAGGGTGGGCCTTCGTGGGGTCCGCGTTGCCCCAGCCAGGGCCAGGAGCATGTGTGGGTATCATGCTGTCACCACTGCTCGACACCCTCACCCCCTCACCCCAGCCCCTGGCCCCTCCGCCTGGTTCTGGGCTGCTGAGAGCACAGCTGTGTGGTCCAGCGTGACTACTCTGCCTGGTGCCGCCTGGCCTCAGTCCCCTTGCTGGCCACTGCTATCCACACAGCCAGGAAAAGCCATGGCAGCCCCGGGCCCAGGGTGTCAAGGAAAGACCCCAGGGTCCTGGGGCAGTGGGCAGTTCCCTCCCAGAGTGGACGGAGCCACCAGCTGCCACCACTGCCCTAAGTCTTGAGAACCTGGCAGGTTTTCCTAAGGCATGACCCCTCCTCTTGGAGCTGCTGATCCCTCTCTCCCATCAGGGGCCTCAGGGACCCCTCCCCCCAGAGGGTCTCTACCTTCCCAGTTTTCCTGGGCAGTTCTGACTCCAGGAGAGAGGACCTGTCATCCTTCACACATACCCAGACCCAAAGCCAGGAGGGGCAGGGCGGGCCCAGAGGTGGTCACCGTGCCAGCCCAAGGTCTCCACCCAGAACCCCACAGCACAGCTGTGTGCTGGTCGAGGGAAGCCCCAAATAACGACAGCGCCCCAGACCGTTGGGCCTGGGCCCTGGGGTGCCATGAAGTCACCAGCGCTTGCCTGGGCTCATCCCAGGGGCCATCGGGGGGCCCCGGTCCTGTTAGGGCTGCGTCCTCACACTCATCCAGTGGCTGGGGTCCTGCTCTGCCTTGGGGGCTGAGAAGCTTCCACCTCTGCTGCTCAACTGGGGTGGGGCCTGTAGGGACGGGTGGGGCTGGGGGGTAACCTGGGCAGCCAAGGAAACCTGACACTCGAGAAGCTTCGTCTCACCCCGAGGCTCAGGCCCAGGAGAAAATGCCCAGTCTTCCGAGAGCCCAGTGAGGGCCTGCTGGCACAGGACTGAAGCCCAAGGGGGCCCAAACTGGGCCCAGTCACCAGGAGTCATCGGGGGCGTCCACGGCACTCAGCCAGGAGACCTGCCGCCGTCCCGGTCCAGGGGAGATGGGGTGCTGGTCAAGAACAGCAGGCAGCCGGAGTCTCCACAGCTCAGGCAGTGGGGTCCTGGCCTGGCTCCCTCGCAGTGTCAGGCTGCCTCGTGGACAGAAAACCCCAGGTCACCTCAAGCCAGGGCTGGCCTGATGGGGCCACGCCCTGGGCATCACCTTCCCAGGCCAGGGTCATTTGAAGCTCAAATCGGGGCCTTGGAAATAGCTCGGTGCCAGCCACGAAGCCCCAGCCTTCCTGGGTGGTCACTCAGCGTGTGGTCCCTGCCAGGTCTCTTCTCCCGGAACCGCCCCGTATCTGCCCTGTGCCACCCCAGCTTCTCTTCCGCGCTTTGCTGTGCTACTCACTGCTGGGGTGTGGACAGGGAGGTCGCCCTGCTGGGGCTGCTCAGGTCTGCTATGCTCAGGGTGGGGGGCTCCTCCTGCAGCCCCTCTCTCCATGGGGATCCCGGGGTGGGAGTCCCAGCAGCCCCAGGCTGACGCTGCTCCCTTGCAGGTGGGTCCGAGGAGAGCACTACCGGTACAAGTTCAGCCGCCCCGGGGGCAGCCACGCCTCGCAGGGCAAGTGGTGGGTGCGGAAGAGGATCGGCGTCTACTTCCCCCCACTCAGCTTGGAGGAGCTGAGGGCCTATTTCAGGGACCGGGGGGAGCCTCTGCCTGAGCCCCTCTAGGCGTGCACCAGAAATAAAGGCGAAGACCCAGCCCTGCAGCTGCTCAGCGACATCTGCCCTTCCCTGGGCCTGACCCCAGCCCGGCATCGCCAAGAGGGACACGGAGAGAAGAGCAGTGGGGACCCCACATCCAGGCCAACCCTTGGCCCAGGCGCCAACCTTCTCAGGGAGCTCTGTTCTCCCGTCCACCTGGCCCAGCCTGGGGCTGTTGCACCCCAAGAATCGGGACAGTGGCCAGCTTCAGGCCACAGAGCTCTTGGGGTCCCTAACATCCTAGGGGCTAGTTTCTATTCACCCCTCCACAGTGTGGTCCCAGCCAGGCCCTCAGAGCCCAGTCCCCATGGTGTCTGGGGCAGCCCAGCACTCATCCCACAGGGACCTGGATGCGCCCGGCCAGGATGTGGAGTTGGGGGATGGGCCTCACCGTCTCCACCACCCCTGCAGAGCCTCCTCGATCCCCACACCTGCAGGCGCACACATGCCGTCGTCAGGGACACAGCTGGGCGCACGTGCATTCAGGAACATTTCCTCCCTGGTGACTGGGGTCTGCGGGGCAGACGGACACTCAGCGTTGCCAGCCCAGCCCTCCAGGCTACAGCCATGCTGTCTCTGGGGCCTTGACGAAGCCTGAATTGGAGGACAGCCTCTCTGACACCTTCCATCGTCAGGGGACAAACAGCACCTCGTGCATATTTTTCTGTTACTCCTGTTGTACCATTGACCAGAGTGCTTGAAAACAAGCTGCTTCGATGCAGAAGCTCTCATTCCTCCCTCCCCTTGGTGGGGACCATGCCCCCCACCCACAATCCACTGCTGGGGAGCGGGTGATCCAGCAGAACCCAGGCTTGAGGGGCGAGGGCAGGGGGCTTTGCCAGGTGATCTTTCCGATACCTGCTGCAGGAGTCCTTAGACTTAACTGGGCTGAGCAGAACCGCCAGAAGGGGGCAAAGCCCCGGGGCCACGTGTCCCCTACCCAGGATGTGAGGGAGGCTGGGTCCCTGGAGAGGTCAGGAGCGGGCCTCACCAGAGGACAGAGGCCCTCCCCTCTTCCCCCCACCTTGGCGGCAGCCACTCACCCCTTCCACAGCACCTGGAGCAGCGCTGCCCACAGCAGAGCCACTGGGGGGGGCCACAGCAGGGACAACATGGGGGGTTCAGGCGGAGGAGGCCAGCCGCCGGGCACAGTGTGGGTCTGTGTGGAGCCCCCCTAGGCCCACCCAGGGGGAGTCTGGCCAGGTGCGAACAGAGGGCCCGTGTTCCAGCTCCTGTGGAAACAGGGCGCCCTGTGTCTGTGGAGGGACAGACAGGGCCTCAGAGGGACGCGCCAGGAGCCAGCAAGTCTGCCAGAGCCACCACGAGGAGCTGTCGGCCCTGGGGTCTGTCCCAGGGACTCTGCCGTGGGTGGGGCCAGCCCTGTGGCACAGCTCAGGGGTGGGCGTCTCAGGCAAGGGACCCATCACCCAGGAAAGGCTGATGCTAAGGGTTATCCCCACCCAGCCTCTGCACGGGGGAGGTATGAGGAGCCAGCAGCCCTCTGAGCCCCCTGCCCGGAGCCCTCCCATGTGGCCACAAATCCCACAGCCCCTCCTCCCTGGCCCCTTGCCCTGAGCAGCCGTGAGTCCCTGGTCTCCCGGAGACCCTGTGATGGGGCTGCAGGCCCTGGGGGCGGGGGGCAGGGCAGGAGCCCATGGTAGGAGTGACGGGCATCTCTGAGGCACCACAGCACCATCCTGGAACCATAGGAAGGGCTGCAGAGCCCTGGAGCAGGCACCCTCGTCCTCCGTCTGGGACAGCAGCGTGACAGGCGGGGCGTCTGGGGTCAAGGCACGCAGCACGAGGCAACAGTCTGTGGGGTGTAGTGTGGTCCGACGCTCCAGACAGAGCGCGGCCCCGCAGCACTCACCTCACAGCCCTGTGGGCCTCCCTGCTCGGGACGCTTCCTCTACACAGAATCACAGCCCTCGCCCTCCCATCAGGCCCGGCAGATTCTTCCCTCTCATCTGAACTCTCCACAGAGCTGGCGTGAAATGGCTACCCACTGTGCCACCTGTGCTCTGTGTGACAGAGGGTCCCGGGCAATGTCCCCCACATGTGTCAGGCTGAGGCCTGTGGTCAGGAGGTCCCCCGGGGACCATGGTGTGGTCTGCCCTCCTCAGCCAGCCTCTGGGGGGCGTGTCACCATGGAGGACACATCTGCTACCACCCCTGGGCACCCCCCAAGGTCACAAAAATGGGGAGGCCCTGGACCCAGCCAGGGGCCTCAGGGACCCACTCCAGGGAGCCCTTGACTCTGACATGTGAGTATCCAGCCCTGCTCAGGAAGACCCCCTCACCCAGCAGTCAGAGGGGCCTTCATGGTGGGGGTCCAGTCACTGGAGCCAGAGTCCCACTCACCTGTGCCGACAGGCGACCCGAGGTCAGGCTGTGACAGCCTTGGTTGGAGCTCATGGCTTGCACCCTCACCAGACCCAGGGCCTGTCAGACCTGACCCCTCCAAGGCCAGGTTCTCCTCAGGCCATGAATCCTTGGCAGATGGCCCTGAGGTCTCATGCCACTGAGCCCATCACCCCCAAATGTCTGGGTTCCCTGTGCGGTCAGGGCTGGGGGGCCTTTGCAGGAGCAGCCAGTGCTGGCCGGGACCCACACAGCAACCCCCCAGGGCCTTCTCTGTTCCCCAACACCAAGCTGCCCCTGGTCCCTCAGCAGGTCCTCAGTGTGGGTCTGCTGGCTCAGCTGCGGGCCCGGCGGGGAGAGAGGTGGCCTGGAGGCCCGAGTCCTGGCGCAGCCTCCCTGGCAGGGTTAGGCCCTCAGCCGGGCCTCAGGCCACCCACATCCCCATCTTGGCAGGAAGGTTTGGGAAAATGGCGACTGTGGGGAGTGCACAGGACGGGTATGGAGCTTTAGATCAGCTTAAGAATATCACAGACATTGACAGCTGGCCCACAGTGGCAGAAAGCAAAGCTCCCCGTCAAAACAGTGTGGCAGCAGCATGGAGACCTGGAGCTGGACGGAGCACAGGAACTACCCGAGCCATCACCCTGTACGTGCAGCCAGGTGACCTCCAGCAGGGGCTCCAGACCATTCAGTGGGAAGAGGACAGTCCTTCCAGCAGAGTGCTGGGAAAACTATCTCCACATGCAGAGGAATGAATGAAGCTGGGCCCTTCCCTAACAGCAAACACGAAATTAACTCAGAAAACTGAGGATGGAACACCTAACCATGCGAGCTCAAACTACTAAACTCCTAGAATAAAACAAGGAAAATCTCTGTGACCTTGGATTTGGCATTGAGTTCTCAGATATGACACCCAGAGACCAGCAACAAGAGAAAATAAATGGCTTCATCAAAATTCAGCATTTCTGGCTCGTGCCTGTAATCCCAGCACTTTGGGAGGCCAAGGCAGGTGGATCACCTGAGATCAGGAGTTCAAGACTAGCCTGGCCAATGTGGAGAAACCTGTCTCTACTAAAAATACAGTTAGCTGGGTATGGTGGTGCGAGCCTGGAGTCCCAGCTACTCGGGAGGCTGAGGCAGGAGAATCGCTCGAACCTGGGAAGCAGAGGTTGCGGTGAGTCAAGATCATGCCACGGCACTCCTGGCCTGGGCAACAAGAGCAAGACTCCATCCAAAAAAAAAAACGGTGGCTACAATGTGACAGCAGAGCTGCACCGGGCTGCTCTTCATCTGCAGGTAGCCCGGCCCCACAGGAACAGCCACGGCTGTAACCCCGCCTCCGGTAAAGCTATTTCCTTCCCCGTCTGGCTCCCATTGAGCCCTCCTGTGCAAAGCCAAGACCCCACCCGGACTAAGCTCCACTTTGGGGCTCCCCTGCTGTGCCTCAAAGTGGTGTGGCAATGTGGAGAGTCCAGGAATTCCTCCGAATGTTCAGCGTAGGTGGATTACCACGTGACCCCGCAGCCCCACGTCCACACGCGGACCCGGGAGGACTGGAGACGGGGACTTGGCGTGCTTGTGCTGGGATGTCTACAGCAGCCCAGAGGGAAGAACAGCCCAGGAGGCCATGAGTGGATGAACAGACAAGGCATGGTCACCCGTGAGCATTACCCGGCCACAAAGAGGAACCACGCCCTGACGCCGGGACACGCCTCGAGAACCTCGTGCCGGGTGAACATGCCAGACACAGACGACACTGCTCAGGCGATGCCACCTTCAGAACATCCAGACAGAGAAGCCCACAAGGACGCATGGCAGGGAAGAGGCGGACAGCAGACTTGGGGCTGTTGGCGGGAGCAGGGAGAACAGGCTTGACTGACAGGTCCAGAGATTCTCTGGGGGGTGATGGAAATTTCCAGAATTAGGCAGAGGTGCTAGCTGCACGTGTGGTAAACGTGTTAAATGCACCACACTGCTGGCTTCTAAGTGGTTAATTTTATGTAAATGTCAACCTCATCTCTACTTCTTCAAATAGAATCTCCTAAGCATTCTGAGATGCTGGACTTCCCTGCCCTGGGGCCCAGAGCCTCACCCTCCAGAAGCCACTGGAACTCAGGATGCCAAGTGGGGAATACACTTCGTCCCTTTTCTGCCACGTGCCCAGGGCTGGAGCCGCTGAAGACGGAGGCTCAGGGGGCACCTGGAGGATGCTGGTTACCCCTAAAGTGCCACACAGAGCCACCAACAGTCCTGTGGGCTCTGGTGATGGATGGCCCAGGTCATGGACACATAGACATCGATTCACTGAGGACCACGTGAGCCAATGACAGGCAATGCCGGCCTTTCTCAGCCCATCACCGCCTGGACAGCTTGCTCTGGATGTCCACCCAGCCCTCACCCAGACCCACGCGGTGCTTAACGAGTGGCCTTCCCACGTCAGGCTGGTGGCTCTCTGCACCACCCAGCGTTCAGCTGGGCCGCCATACCCCAGCAAGACCCCTGTGCAGCCACCTCCCTCCCTCTCATCTTGCTCCAAGTGCCGCATGCAGGAGGGACGGAAACCTCTGGGTGCTGGGAAGCAGCAGCGCAGGCCCGAGGCAGGGGAAGGCGTGGGGACCTCCGTGTCCACCCCCAAGTCTGGGTGCATGCTGGGGAGCCCGGGGCACCGGAGGGTCTCAGAGGGTGCCACCCTCCCTTCAGGGCTATGGCTGCCTCACTCTGCCTGGGAGCCGGGCCAGGGGCCGCAGCTGACCCCACTGAGTCTGGGCTGGTGGCTCACCGTTCCAGGGTCTACACCTGACCCAGGGTGGTCTACACCCGTCCCGGTGCTACCACACTGTTTAAACTGTTACAGCTTTAAAACCAGCCCTGGACTGGCCATCACGGCCACCTTGGCTGTCACTGGCCCACTGCTGGAAGCGAGTTTGTGGAAGCTTCTGTCAGCTCTGAAGGCTGGTGTGCAGACAGCTGGCCTCCCCGTCCCCTCCTCCCCGCCCCGGGCCTCTTTCTTGTGTGGGTGGCTGGTTGGGGCTGTCTCCCCTGCCTCATCCTTTTCGTAACCTGGAAGTTGTCCCTTAAACACCTCCCCACGGCAAGCTGATGCAAAGGCCTTCACTGCAGCCTGCTGACCTGCCGGATGCAAGAGAAACACCTACCTGGACCTCAGAGAAGAGAAGTAAGGAAGAGGCGCTGAGCCTGTCAGCACGCGGGGCTGCTGGAGGCGGCGCCTTGTCCAGACGACACGGGGACACACGGGTGTGCGGGAAACCAGGGCCCATTCATTACAGAACCACCTTGGGGAACCCCGAGCTGCTGCTCTGAGAACAGTAACATACACCTCCAGCTGCGACCATCCCACAAAAA